GCCATGTCGGACCACCAAAACCGCTCGCCGAGGACTTGTTTCGTCGCGGTAATTCCGCGGTGTCCACCGACACCAAAATGCGCCACCACACACAGGCGCATTTGGAGACCGCTTGCAGCGGTGGGGATCCACACCGCACCCGTGACGTCTTCAACAATGGCACTGGCTCGCCATCAATCCCCACTTGATCCTCGGCCCAATCTGCCGAGGGAAAATCACCTCGACCGATGGCTTGGACTTGTTCGTCCACCACCTCTGCCATCGTTGGCCACACAATGTCATCACTTCGCAACGGCGAAATCTTCAATGGCACGTGGACAATGGGGCAAACCAAAATGGGCTTTGCCCCCAACGGGACAACAGGCCAGCCCACACGTGAAAATCCCCCGAGATGTCGTAAATGGTATAATCGTACCCCATCAAAGCAACGCCCAGCGATCCAGCTGCCGTATACTTGGGAATCGCGACGTTCACGGACGCCGGGTGGAAAATGAACTTGAGGTTTGCGTGGTCGGTGAACAACGCAAATCCACCGGGCTTGTGCAGAAGATAGTCTGCCCGCTTCAGACACTCAACGATCGAGAACGCCTCCTTCTCGACAATCGCCCATCGTTAAGCGGCGCCAGAAGTCGTGCCGCTCAGAAACATCAGCGACTCGTGGTCTTGACTGTCCAGTTCGCGATCCACTTGATCGCGTGGGATTTGAGTCACGAGGCCACCCCAATGCAAATCGCTGGCATCGGCAAACACACAAATCAGCCAACCTTGCTTCTGGTGAGCTAGGGTCACCACTCGGCTGAGCGCTTCCTTGCACTGATCCAAACACGCTGCGTGGTCAGCGTTCCACCCCACCTCAGCAAGGAGGACCTTGGCCACCTTTTGGCGTGTTCGACCGCCCGCCGCCTTGTAGACCGACTCCACAGATCGGTCATCGTTGTACAATCACATTGTACCTTGGGATTATTGACATGCGCATCTAATTCACGGCGCATAGAAACTGATGAAGGTCTTGGCCGGTCACCGGCATCTTCAGCTCTTTTGACGCCTTGATGCATTCGGGATCATGCTTGACGCCTGCGGACGACACGATTCGTCCACGCCAGCGAGCTTCGGTCTCATAGAACCGACACTTCTTGGGATTCAGCTTGAGGCCGCGCTCCTGGCAAATCACCTGCACACGTTCGAGCGCCGCCAGCAACCTTGCTTGGACTTCTCGTATCCAAGCAAATCGCCCAACCAAACCAAGAGCGACTTGTACAAATCGCTCGCGAACATTTCTTGAACCGACGATTGGCAGTACGCCACGCTGTCGGTTCCGCCCATCAGCACTCGCGTCGGCGTGTAAACGCCCGTATCCATGAGGAACGAGAGCATTTCTTGCGACGTCTTGTCCAGCGCAAACTGCCAGTAACCCTTGAAGAAGTCAAGGATAAAGAACACTTCTGCGCCGGCCAGGTGATCCAAGATCACGTCCCGGACGGACGTCGACGGTCATGCGAAAATCGTTCGCATCGGGTTTCTTGACGATTAATGGTGCCGAGCACCATTTCGAGCGGGGGTTTCGATAGCACAGCCCCGCTGCCACCAACTCAGCAACGTGATTCGCCATGAAATCACGTTGCTCTTTCGAGTAGCGGCGCGCCTTGCACCGCACAGGTTCGGCGCCTTGCTTCAACGTCACGACTAAGGGCGCCACGTCGACGGGCGGGTCTCGACCAAGTGTGAGTCGAAACACGTCTTCGTAGCGGACCAACAGCTTCGACAGCTGTGTCGCGAAATCGTCACCGCACCCTGCGACTTCGTAGTCGTGCACCTTCTCTGCGAGCTTCGCTCGCACCGCCATTCGATCGACTTCCAACGATCACCCAGATTTCAAATCTGGGAAACTCGCTCGCTCTTCTTCAGGGTAGAGCGAGGCTTCTTCGGGAAACGATGTAGGCTTGTTTATCGTCTGAACCACCTTCATGGCTGCAATCAGCGGGGTCTCCTTGTCGCCCAGCTGATTGAGGTCGTACACACTTGCGCCAGCAACAAATGAGGGCAGTATCCCCGTCGAGCCATCACATCGCGACTGACGATAACGTCGTCCAGGCCGTCTTGCAGTGGCATCACGACCACCCAGCACTTCAGGTTCGATAACACCAACGTTCCTTCGGCCGTGTCGAACGTCAACCGCGGCTTGACTTCTCCTTCCACTGTAAGTTTCATGGCCTCCATGAAGCCTCCCTACTCGATCGGTCGGTCCAGTTGGCGCACCGCCAACGTAAAGTTACCGATATTTTCGACGCGCGCCAGAAACGTTGGCGACACTACCGATTGATCGGC